CTCGGTCAGGCCTATTCCGGGGCAATGGGGGCCCTCGGGCCTCCGGCCTCTGGGCCTGCAGCTCGGTTCACTCTGGCACAGCTGGCTGCCGGCAGAGCCGGCGGGCACGCCACTGCAGCCTCCTTTGGCTTCTGCTCTGTGGCTACTGGGTGACGCCTCGTCTGGGGATCCTCAGCCCTTCCCAGGAGGGTGGCACAGATGCCCCTCCGGTGCTCCTCCTTGGGCTCTCGCACGCTGGGGCCTCTGGATGTCTGGGGCCTGGATCTCCTCCATGTCTCCTTCATGCCCTGAGGGACGGGGCTATGGCTCGCTACATCCTCTAGCAGATCATTACATGTGGAAACCTTTTGAATACAAGCGCGCTGATCCACACAGGTGTGCACACGGATGTTCACTGTTCATAGACATAAACTACACCTTTCTTGGCTGCTATTTCCAAGCACATTGTGCGCTGTTGGTCCTGCTTGCTACACAACAACATTCAATATTTAGTATTTACTGCTGTTTACACTTGGCTAGATTAACGTGATGGTGTTGTGTTTAGTATGTTGCTCTGTTGTTTTTGCTTGTTTTCTCTTCTTTCTCTCAACGGGTGATCCAGGAGATTTTTTTTCTTTCTCTTTTTAAGTTTCCTCTCTCACTGTCCCTCTCCCCTTCTGTTTTTCTTTTCCTTCATCTTTCTTTCTCCCTTTCCTATCCCTCAGTCATGTCTGTCCCGTCTGTAACAACTGAAAATAAAACTAAATTAAAAAAAACAAAAAACCATTGTCTGTAGCAAACACAAAACACAGGAAAACGTGTTAAAGAGTGAAAAAAACCCAAAAAACCCCAAAAAACAAAAATGTGTTTATCGTCAGCACCTGCACGTTAAACTACTTAAACATTATAAATATCTTCAAGCTCACACTGAGGCCTGTGGTTCACTATCAGCCACTGATAGTGTTGGGAAGGTTACTTTTAAAATGTATTCCATTACAGATTACAGATTACATGCCCCAAAATGTATTTTGTAACGTATTCTGTTACGTTACTCAATGAGAGTAACGTATTCTGAATACTTTGGATTACTTAATATATTACCATGCTACATGAATGTACTATTACTGTGTGATTTATTACTATTACTGAAGGTTACTCGTCACCAACGAGATGTTTAAATCTTAATATAAACGAGTAACAGTGGGTAGACATTAGGTAAGGCTGCACTTTTTGCAGTGATCTCGTGTAGAAAACTATTTGTGCGTATATAAAACAGGTCAGCGGCTCCGAACTGTAGTAAAGGGACCTCTGGCTAATAGGTCGGGTTCGTGTCGGGCTCGTAGCCGAAAACTAGCTTTACTTTGTTGTCTGGGTCAACTTTGCTAGCGAGAGACAGAGAGAGGCGTTGAAAG